GTCCAAATATTACAACAATCTTAAAATCTATCGAGATAAACATTATTTTTTATCAAGGGTATACAGAGAGCACGTGAAAATGACTTGTTTTTGACTGATCTTGAGGTTGAATTTCACAATTTCTCTTCAACTTGCAACTTACTGGAGATACGAAAGGTGTGTGTATCGTGATCAGGGGAACTAAGAAAAATGCGAGAATTTTGAGAAAGTTGCATTTGAACCCGTTACCTCTTCCATGCCTGCCAGTCTTGTTATAACCTTAAGCAAAAGGGAAAAAGAAAAATGGTTATATTTTAAACGAGTTCTAATCAGTCAGGAAATAAAATTTGATCGTGATCTTGAGACACGCGCAGTTTTCGTTACTGAAAAGCTGATTGGACAAGAACGATGTACCATTTTCTTCATGAATTAAAAGGGCACAATCTTCGTTGACTGAACCTTGGAAGTCCACATTGGTTTCAACTCCATACAGTGTCTTATACTGATACAATGTTGAATGTCCCATAACAACCACAAAAGTCCGAGTCAGGCTCGACTCGTAACGCTTATATGAATCAGTAATTAGTCAATTTATTGAAAACTGGATCATTGGATAACGCAATTCGAGAGTTTTCATTGGCTTCGCCATCATGGTAAAATGAGCCATTATACTATGCTCTACAAATATGGTGAGCGCATGCGTAGTTTTTTGGGGCGTAGTTTTCGATTTTAGTTTTCTATATTTTGGGGCGTTTTTTAATAAAACAAATATTCCACTCCCTAATGTTGGATATGAGATGACTACGGCCAACTCATAATCCACAGCTCGCTCATGGAATAATTGTTAATTATTCAATGGGTAGCCTTTGGTTGGGCTAAGTTGCGGTTTTATAGAGCACTATCGCCCATGTTTACAACACATTGCGGCCACACTAGGTGAACAAACAGGAGCAAAACCAAGCTATATACCTTGAAGCTGTAACCTTGATTCACCAAAAAGCGCTGTCGTTTCGCTGAATAATACATTTCTTCAGTGTCCTGTGAAGTCCGAAATCAGTCGAATTAAAGAGATGATATCAGTTCTCGCTACATGTGTATAATGTGATGATTATATCGCGATTACAATTNNTTGGTGCCCATTCTTTCATATGAAAATGAGATTTCATTCTCATGCAAATGAAACTCGTTTTCATGTGAATGGTTGAGCACCAGGCCTCGCTTTGATAGGGAGGCTTAAGGCAACTCGGAAAATGAGCTATTGAATTGCTTTCTGCCAAATATCATAAAAGGATAACCGATTCTCCTGAGCACACACCTTCCTAAATCGTAAAATTATTCAGTTTGTCCATTTCATATGGGAGTTTAGTCCCTTGTTCATAGAATTAAAAGCAATTTTACCAAAGTTGACATAATTCAATTACAAGTCTAGACATTACCTATTCAAATGGCCGCTTCCAAGATTTTTGTTTATTTATTCAACAGTTCACTGTCGACACAATCAATTAGACTGCATGAGTGCTATTTTCTTGTGTACTTCTAGGATCGTGAGAAGCGAAAAGCGAAAGAAAGAGCAAAGTGAAAACAATTTACATGACTCAATTTACCATAGACTTCAGCCTCGTTCCCAGTCTCCTTTCTCCCCCACCCCAAGTGCGGGGAAAAGAAGAGTGACGCTGGGAGCGAGGGACTCAAGAGAGACTGGGACTACGCCAAGAGGGCCTGAAACCAAGTTAACAAGGCCGGGTGACCAAGCTACGATCAGGCGTTGAGCGTTTGTCAGTCCATGAGCAATAAAACGGTTGCCCACAGTCTTCAGAACTCTCAGTTGTAACTGTTTTTAAAATCAATATCCTTGCACGAATCTACTCACCAGTGAGAACAAGTAGTTTTGTCTTACCTTGGAGATAAATATCGTATTGACCAAAGGATTGTGCTGGAAGTTCTGCAAAATCTGCATTCGCTCACTTTGATGAGTTGGTCCGTAGATAAATGGTCTGAAAACAGCAACGTTAACTGAAATTATCTTCAAAAGAAATGCTGTTGTGTGCTGAACTTGGCTGAATGGCATGGAAAAAACATTTCATCAGTCTATGACATAGCACATAATCTGCTCCAACATTCACAAATCTTCCTCAGAGCTGCAGAGGACTCGAGGGAGGTAGACGTTATAACTAAATATTCGCCTCCTATACTTACCAGGGAGCGAAATGCCATGGGTTCGTCTCCTATTGTTAGATCTTGGAAATATTTTCCGGGTAACTCCCATTACCGACTGATGAATCTTTTTTTAAATTATATTGACACGAAATCCATATGAATGAGACTTAAAAAGAAACAGCCGAAGTTGGGCACAAAAAGCTACATAATTGATAAATCTTTGTAACTGTAGAAATCAAACTCACTTCTTTAGTTTCTCAGCGTATTTCTTGAGTGCAAACACATTGTCAGAGAAAACAATGACTTTATCATTGCGTCTAAAAAAAGAAATAGAACATACAACAATTAAAACAAAATTTATTTTTTACTTATTTTACATAGGAAAATAACTTCTTACACGACAAAGCTGCTTTCTTCAGTGGTTTGACCTTACCTTTCATGAAAACGAATCAAAAACTGCAGAAAAAGAGAGGAAAAAAGTTTAAGTGTAAAAGGACGATACAAAAGAAGACCACTAACTGAAATACGCAACAGTGACAAATGGTAACCAAGCTAGCGTTCATATGAACTTAGTTTTTGTTCGCTCTTTAGTGACTTCTCCACGCGCGGGTTTCATTTTCCCGGCAACGTAATCAAGAGAACAGTTTCTTCATTGCATAAATTGAATCAAACTGTATATTGACGTATAATAAAATGAAAGGTTTCCAGAAGAAACTTACAATGGCCAGCAAACGATGTGAAAATCCAACTGACTGGTAAGCTGATTGCAAACACAAGGCGTTTATATGATTCTCAAGTCTCAACCGCAAAATGCTAAATCTCTTTACCGACTGCCATACCTTTCTCAGTTCTGAGAACTTGGTGCTAGATAAAAACAATGTCACTTAGTTGAAGGTTTACTTTATTCTCATCACCTGTTTGCTGTACAATGTATGAATTATTTTAAGAGAAATCCGATGTCGACTTAGTTTGGAATAGACACTGTTACCACAGGAAAACAAACAGCAAATCACCACGTCATTCAAAGCAAGTTTTATCATACCTCGCATGATCGGAACTTGTTTGGGTTCATGACGTATAACAGCTAAAACGAATAAAGAAATAGAGTGATGAAATATTACCTTTTCTTTGAGTGTATATTAAAGGGTTTTGGTTTTAGAGCGGTTTTCTAATACCATGCAGTTGTCGAAAAATAAGCTTAAACAAATACTTTGATTTTCCTCGACATGAATGGTGGAAAAGAGAACATTGTCACTGTAATCAGCAGGTGGAACCACGGAATCAGTTCTATCAATGCCCATGGAAACACAATTTAGAAAAAAAAAACACCAATATGGTGAAATGCTGTAAATGATATACCTTTCTCTTTCGTGTTCTGATGTTGAGATATTCTCTGTAGAACTCAGGCGTCATTGGACACCACACCTAAAAGATGATAGAGTATTGTTTACTGCACTGCAAGGATAAAAATCGCTACGGTGTGTAAAAGAACCATTGAAATAAGTAAGATATCACACCTCGGCACACTGGACCCGTGCAATAAATCCATTGTTTTGTAGTTCCATCCAGTTGGCCTCGTATAGCTTAGGTCCAATAAGGAAATTTAAGTCCTGAAATAGCAAGGGAAGGAATTTGATATCGACGAAGCTGTAGCAAAATATTATTTTTATTTCCAAAAGATTACGATTTTCCAAGTTAAGGCAGGAATGCATTTCTGGAAACAAGCATCCTCTGTGCTTAGTCGATGAGACAACTAATCTTTCAGGAGAATTATCGTTGAGAGAGCACAACGACCTCTAAAGGAATCTGGAAAGTTTGCTGTTACCATGCCATTTTGCCGCTGTACTCCGAGGAATACTGCAGTCTCGTTTTCGGACCGTAAATTGTGCTTGATCTTCTGAATGAAAGCACAATCTCAACCTCCACGCGGCTCACTATACCGCGAGGGGTTTGGATTGAGATCGGGAAAAAGTGCTACCGAGTACGAACCTGGATCTTGTCATCTTCTCGGACAAGAGTTGCTGTGAGTCCCAGCTTACAGTGCGCTTGAACGACTATTGAGGACAGAAGAAGACAAGATATGTTTGACTACTTTTTAACATCAAAAAGCATAAGAACATAGCATAAATCTAAGACTTCTTTAGTTTGAAATACCGCATTTGTATATTTGTAACATAAAGGAACTTAGAGAAGCGCAACAACAATTAACGAAACTCAAAGCATATTCAACAGGTCTAAACTAACGTCCTCACCTGTTAAAACTCTTCTGAACTGCTTGGCTGGAATAGTGTGAACTTCTAAACAAACGCAAAAAGAAAGATATTTTGGGTTAAAGAGCTCTTTAACCCAGACAGATAATCCAAGGCGAAAACGCCCACTGAGAAAGTTGACTTAGAGTATACACAAGAGCTACGAGCAAAGCCATCCCCAAGACAGGGGAATCTCCACATAGGAAGCATTTGTTGTTGCAATTGGAAGAGAGATCGTGTTTTACCAGATTTCCAAACACCAAAAGGTGAGTTGAAAATACAACATGTAGCGGAGTATTTTTTACGAACTTTTAATTTTAAATTTTAAAATTCGAGGTGTCTGGAAATTTGGTAAAACACGGTCTCGAGTGTTTGATATATCCTCTTAACCGAGGTTAAAATTAAGGAGAAAAAAGGGGGAAAAAATCGTAAAATTTATGCTAATTAAGATGAGATATCTAAACACCGTCACGGCTCTCTATGATTTCCTTTGAGTATAGTTGATGAATTTGACAAAGTGTTTTCAGAATTTTGTTTTGTTTTTTTTCTAGCCGTTCTTGATTAAATCTTACCATCTAGAATCATTAAGCCCCATTCCTGTGTCTGCATAAAATTCATAACCTAGATAGGAAAAGGAAATACTTCTTTCAGATGTGCTGCCAAAAAACACTAATAAGGCAAAGCATTGCACGCTGTTTTACTGTGTTCACTTACCTCTCCAGCCTCCCAGGATCTTTTCCCAGTGAACGACACCATAGAATACGTTGAAATAGCAATATTACAATCTGTAGAGAAAGAGTGATAAAGTGAAACTGAAAACAAACAAGCCTACACGAATGACGGGAAGTCACATGAGCTTGCGCCTGATTGGCAGGCGAAAAGAACATCTTTGTTATGATTGGCTAAATCATGTTGCAGGCGCTTTACGAGTCAACTCTAGTACTTATACCTAAGAACATGCAGGGCCACGTAGTTTTCTTTCCAAATTTTATTTTCTGTAAATAAATATACTCACTGACAGGTTTATCTTTGGCGTCTGAGGTAAAGCGACAGATCGTGCGATCATCGATGGTGGACCACATCTTAAACTGAGGTTAAAAGCACAATTTAGGACAATGAGCAACTGAAAAATGCATCGTCAGTTCCTCAGCAATTTTATTTTTTATACTGCGTCAATTGGCAAGATCAGCACTGGTGTTTACTGACAGACGCGGCCAAGAACCGCAAGTGATATAATGCTGACTGGCGTTACATAGGCAGACGAATAATGCGTTTTAGGTGTGATATTCGTCTTGGTTAATACGGATAATAAGACACGTTTAATATAAGTCGAACTTAACAATTTTATGCGTCCAGAGGAGACATAAAGGCAATGTCTGCATACAAGCCAAGTGGTCCATCAGGCCGGAGCTTATCCCGGTTTCTGTAACATGAAGCGACTAGGAATATTTCTACTCCACCCTGGATGGGATGCTAGTCCATCGCAGGGTTACCCCCAGCATTAAGTTCAGCGGTACCCATTTATACACCTGGGTGGGGAGAGGCACTGTGAGAGTAANAATTAGTAGGTGTTGTCTATGAAAAGCCCAATTGGGGAAAGTCGATAAAAGATGTGTGTAATATATAATTGATGATTTTTCCTTGATTCATACAAAACATTTTAAATGCAAAATTTATTGGGTTTTTTTTTTTCTGATTTTCATGCCTGTGTACAATTTTAAACACCTGAACTACAGTCAAACCTCCGGTTGCGACCACCTCCCGTAAGCCACCACCTCTCCTCAGCAACCAGTTTTCCAGAATATCAAAAGTTTCCAAGTCAGATCACTATATTTGAAACCTCTTGTAAGGGACTACCTCTTGTAAGTGACTGTGACCACTTTTAGAGCTAAAAGTTTGAAATTTTCTTTTGTTTTTAACCTCCCATAAGCGACCACTTCACAGATAATAGAGCGGAAATTGGATAATAAGGTATTGTAATGTTATCGTATTCCTGGGTAGTATAAGAGACGGAAGTATTTCAATGGGAAACCAGATTTTTTTTACATGAATAAAATGTTTAAAAGATGGGGTAAGTCTCTGGTGTCACAATATGCTAATGAGGCAAAAGTTTGATCCACTATGGTCTAAGCTGTTGTAAGCGACCACCTAGGCTTGACATTTTGGGTGGTTGCTTACGGGAGGTTCGACTGTAGAATTTTTTAACTCCATACTTTGTTCCTGCCACAAAAACTGATTCATTACAGCAAATTTTTAACAACAACAACAGCAACAATGATTGAATAACAATTTAGAAAGAAAAATACTCAATGATAAAAGAAAATCATACCAAATGGCTATACATGTACAGGTGTAGCTGTAAAATGTGAAACAGAAGGATTTACAACTCTCATCTGGTTTCAAAAGTTGAATTCTTTTTATAAGTTTGTCATTCAGAATTACCTGCTCTGTTGTTTGAGAAGTCTCTCCATTAGATTCCTGTGGTTTGTTTAGCTGTTTACAGTTGCAAAAAAAAGAGAAAAAAAGACTGATTGTCAAACGAAAAAAACCCTCATTACAGGACAACACTACTAACCTGTAAGTATAAGTGACCAAAACAAAATCAATTGACTGGTCAAAATTCTATACACTCAAAAACATTCAAACAGTAGTGCAGATGGTGTGGGGGTCTAATGGCCCAGGGGAGCGGGGTACTCCCAGAAAAATTGGGTTGGGGTGTGCAGCCCGCTTCCCAAAACCCTTACCCTATTTATGAACAAATTCTGTGATTTTCCCTACCCTATTTATGACCTGACCAAAAATTTGATATGGTCCTATTTACGGCCATTGCCGCTGGCACAGTTGCTCTAAACATAATTTATGCACAGGCTCTTGTTGATGGTCTCATTGATAATGATGAAAAAGTAGCTTCATCTACATTTAATTCAACGCCAGAGTGCAAAAACCACACCACATTTCTGACCAAAATGGCCAAAATTGATACCCTATTTATGACCAGAATGGCTGAAAAACCATACCCTTTGGCGCCGCACATACCTATATAGCCCATATAAGGGAGTACCCCCGGGTCTAATGATTAGTGCACTGCACTCTAGATCCAGTGGTCTGGGTTTAATTTTAACCCTGTTGGAGGTTGTACATTTTGTTCCTGGGCAATACACGTCACTCTGACTTACAGTGCCTCTCTCCACCCAGGTGTATACGTGGTAATACCTGTCCAGCAAATTTAGTGAGTCATTTCACATGCTACACAAACAGAAGATAAGAACCATATTGATGGGCCACTATGTGCAAATGCAGACAATCTACATGTATACAGTAACAAACTGTTTATTGTGTTGCCATTGTAGGATTGCTTACTCATCACAATGGGCACACAAAATCACGCAATACACTGTACATGTATCCATTTCTCATTTCCCACCTTCAGTGAAGACTTTCCACCCACAGTAGATTTAACAAGCTGATCCTCTCCCAAACCAAGCTCAATGTCCTCATCTGTGTGCTTTCGACATTCTTGAATCTCTGGGTCTCTGAGAAGATGCTGAAGCACTTCCTATTCAATTTTTTAAAAAATATACATGTATTAATATTTTCTAATTTATACATCAAACGTAATGTCTTTTTCTGGTCTCAAGCAGTTTAACTTCAAGTCTGTCTCTCTAATCTTACGGGAAGTCTTAAGGTCATCTCCAAAATCTTTAGAAGAGCTATGTCACAGTTCACACATCTTGAAAAGTCTAACCTAAATTTTTCAAGTTCATTGTTTATAATCTGTGTCAATCTTTGCCATCCTTAACCAGCCATCCGTGTTCCTATATGGTTTATTATAATTATCTCTTTGGTGTTTTGCTACTCTTACTAGCAAATTACTATTTTTCAGGTTTCCTTCAATTTAAAGGTAAATCTTTTCACGGCCTTAATAACCGTGACTGAACTCCTGAACAAATTATCTTTACATGTACAAGTCCTTGAGTAACCTAATGTCTCAGAATTATATTATTTGTTTCAAAAAATTATGTTTGAGGTAGAAAAATTAAAGATTTTGAGTATTTTCTTTTTGGCTTTAAGGATAAATTCACTCACTGGATGACTGCTTTCCACAAAGTATCTGTTGTGTTTTAAGACAAGCTTCACTTTTCCATAGCTTAGAGTACAGATCTGAAAGACAGAATCACAACGGGAGATTTAAACACACACCAAAACAACACCCAAGCATTCAAAAAAGTTTATGCTAGTTTGACATACAGGGTAAAGGACCGTAAATTGCTGAGTTCAACTGATTCCCTTTTCCTTTGGATAGCAATTAAAAATTAAGCTTATGAACTCACATACAGTGTACACAGTACTAGGACTGTAAACAGTTTTTGTAAGGTAGAGTTTTGCCCTGAAAGCATTGGATCATCTCATTCTGGCTACCATGGAGCTGCCATCTTAAATAAAGTGGTGAGTAAAATCAAGGAAAAGGATTAAACTACTACGACTAAGTACAAATGTAGCAGATGGGAAGGCATATAATTTAAAATGGACTCAGATATTGTATTTAAAATTTAATTTTACAGTCATCCAGGGAGTCATGCATACCTTAATAAACTGAATTATGCCATCAGGGATAGTAGTCTTGCTCAAACGTCTTAGATATTCAATGATATCACTTGTCTGAAAGAGACGACATTGCAGCGGGCATTAGGTATGGCTAATGACAAATTTAAGATGGAGGAGGGGGCAGGAAGTACGAATTTAAAAATTACACTGTATTAGCAGAAGAAAAACCATCAACAGACATGGATTCATACCGCTTTCCACCGTCTTACAGAAATCAGTCAGATTTTAAAGGGACTTCAGGGAGATAAAATCCAAAAGATTGAAATCCTTGGGGAGCAAAGCCCTGGAGCCCATTTCTCGAAGGTCCCAAATGTTTTTGCGCCCGAAAAGCTGTAGCAAAATCTCAAAGCTAATGATTACAGAGCTGTTTTATTCACATATTCTTAATATGAACAGAGGTTCTCTTCATACAAGAAGTTTTAGGCGTATACACTTCTCAGTTTCTAGATACAGATGAACTAAAAATGGCTTTACAGACCCGAAAAGTTTCCGGGGCTTTCAAGAAACGACCCTTGGACTCCTCTAGAGGCTTGCACCTTTAGACTCATTGTTTTGAAAATTGGTCAGCATTTATCTGATATCTGTGCCTGATTATACAATCAATATTGTTACAAAGCATGAAGGACCCTGAAAAATTTTGTGACTCATTGCTGTCGGTGTTTATAATAAATTATTGTTTCACACAAGGCTTGGGATTGATTTTTATAAACTTGAATGTTTTATGATACACATTTATATATTACATAAAACAATAAAATACCAATACTTGAGATAACAGTAAACTGTATTTTAATGTGATTGGGCACGGTTGCTAAAAGTATATTGTAGCTGGCTGCTGGCTAAAATCACCATCTATCTCATGACCTTAGCAGACTAACTCAGGTGGGTTGTTCTAACATCTGAAAAAGATGGCTTGACTCAACTACCTAATAAAACTACCTCCCTATGACAACCCTGACAGAGCCTTATGGGCCCTATGGCACAGGATAGATTAGTTAAGTTGGTTGCTGAAGTAGTGCTGTTCTTAAAAATGTCATACACAAAAACCAGCGAGCTTTCAATTTTTAGCTCAGCAGAGTGTGCACAAAACCAAACTGCATATTAATAATTTAATATTATTCTATTATGACATTTATAATATAAATATAACTGCTGATCATAAATTCTGACCTGTAGGCCAACAGAGACGGCAGCATAGAGAGAATATGCTGTCAATCTGCAGATAAAAAAATCCCACAAAAATTAGCACCTTCTGTCTAACAGGAAAAAACTGATGCCAATAGTTGTTAGCGAAGCTTGATCAGATGGAACATCAGATGTGCCCTCGTCAACTATATATCATACAGTAGTGATTGAAATTTTGAGCTCATATATTATACCTGTCTAATAGGGTTACCTTAAAAAATTCTATAATTCATTTTGTCCTGACCAGTTCCATAGTATCTTTTAAAAAGCAATCTACATAATTAATTTTTTCAAATTGGCAAATCTTCAGGAATGTTTACAAAACACTAGTTTGCAAAGTAACTCAGCAAACACCCCTCACCTGTATTCGTGTATATGCTCTGGTCTGCAAACAGGCTATTGAGAAATTAAGAGCATAAATTCTTGATCATTCTTAATCAATAAATAATTAATTATTATTTTCAACAATTTACTATTAATTAATAATATAAAAGTTGTGTACACCTAATGCTATATAGTGCATATAGATATGTTCAGAATTTAATTAAAATTAGATTTTATATAATATTATAACAACTCAGATTACAGCCTAACTCTGTATATAATCTAGGAGTATAATCTAAAATAATCATGATATAACTAAATGGCTGAAACTGACTTTTCATTGTGTAGCTGAATGACCTATAGTACCTCCGAAATAGCAATAAGAAAGTCATGTGCATGTTTGTAGACAGGAGAAAATGATTCCAGGAAAATGTGACCGTCAGGAGCCTGAGGAAAAAAAGGAATTTATAGAGATGTTTGATTTGGACTAAAATTCAATGACACTATAAAGAAATATTTCAATTATATATTAAGTAGTTTTAAAGTCTAACTAAATTTCCTTGTTTACCCAAATTAAGATGAACTAGAACAGCAGAAGACCAGCTGTGCTTATAAGCAGGTGTAATTAATCTTCTTACCACCCAGAGAGGTCTGGAGGAATGATCTGCTTTGAGCTCTGTTATCTTGCGATAATCTTTGGCACCAAACTCATCCTGTTAGAAATTTTAAAACTAATATTTAATCTAATTCATTAATATGAATAAATGATGAACTAATTGAAACTGATCTACATGTAATCTTGGGCAGTTGTGAGTTACTTTTCCAGTGTGTCAAAGTACATGACCTTGCTGGTGCAGCACCTAACACAGACTCATAACAACTCTATATAATATACAGTAAGGCCAATTTTTTTAAAAAATGCTAAGTACTCATAAGAGAATACCTGCTATAGCTCTGGCAGGTACCAGGTCTCATATTTGAAAGTACTGCTTCTAGTTAGTTGCTTTATCCTATAGAAACTACAATTACACACTTGCAGTGTGGTTCTTTCAGTATGGGTTTACTGTAGACCTGACTTGTCAGATTCAATTTTTATGAATGGTCAAGTCATATAATGTCTGTATTCACAAATGACAGCCTTGCCCACATTAACATTAAATACAGATTGAAATATTTAATAACATACTTCGTTTGTCTCATCACTCACTGCGGCAGATGAAGATTTGGGTGCAATCTCAACTAAAAACCAATGAATTTAATTAAACTGAAGTCCTGTAAGTCAACATGTTTCAAAATATTCAAGATTAGCAGATAAATGTACTGTATTTAAAAATAATAGACATTGCCCATAAGCTTTGTGAATCCACCCATCTAGAAGTGTAAATTTATAATGCAAATAAAATTATCATTCAGGCAACCTAACGATAGGCTTTTGCTGTATTTCATTCTCAATAGCATTGTTACTACATGTACATGTATTTATCATACCACCTTATGAATTCACTAATATATGTAATTTATAGAGTATATTAAATTGCAAGCAGCAGGGTCAGCCTGGTAGCTGTTGGCTAGTCCAGAAAATAAAAGGAATCCATTCCTGGACACAAGTGTGTCAACAATGCGCTCAGTGCATGCAATTCACAATGATCAACAATACATTTTCACAACTTTCTAACATAACCATTAGCTGTCCCTGTCAACAGATTCATAAAGCAGATAAGTGGATATTTCATTCTTACTACATACCATCCTCGACAGATTCATCATCAAAATCTTCCTCTTCATCCACCTGATAAGACAAAATTGAGGTTTATTTAACCTGTTAAGGAATATGCAAGGCGACTAATTGAGACTGCTTAACATCATGTACCTTACTCCTCTTGGCTTTCCTTGATGATTTTGAAGCTGTAAGAGAAAGTACACACTGTTGACAGGAATTTTCTTTTTCTTTTTAATTAATCCATTTATTAGTAAATTTAAGCTTATAACATTTGTAATGAACGAACTTCACCAGGTTTATATTACAAACCAAAATTCGGTAAAGTCGTGTTACTATTTCTCACCGACCTTTAACTTCCTTTTTAGACCTTGGAAAATTTTTTTTAAGTCAAGAAAAACTTGTTTGATTCAAATCGCGTCAAAATAAACTCTACAATTACTGATATCATGGTATATCAGTGGAACCCACAGTCCACGGCTCACAGACTGTAGCGCACTTACAATCTCCATTCGTCTTCAGCTTACGCTTTTGGCTTTTCATCACGATCCTTCAGCGACTTAAGTTACCACAAATAATATGCCATGCCATGCACCACTTAAACTGGACTCGTTTTCCAATATATTCAGTTCTTTTACTCAAGCCATGTTCCTGAAAAATCAACTGACCAGAGTGGTTTTTTTTTCAACCAGGCGTTCCTTGCTAATTATGCAAGAGATTGGAACCGAACCTGGGATCCTGAGACCGAACAAAAAAAAAATTATCCCTTGTCTACCCCAGCCGGTATACTTAGGAAATTAAAAGGATTATGTTTTACTGGAACATCTTTCGTAAGCTGTAAAATCGTGAATGCAGGCAAGCTCCAGAAAATAACAGTTACTATGAATTCTTTTCGAAGAGAAAACTTAGGGAAAATAAGAGTATTCTAAAAGAGTAATAGAGTATTCTAATAAGAGTATTCTAAAATCTACCAGTTTTGCTAAAGCTTCCCGCAGCATTTCCAACAAATCTTTATTTTTAATATTTACTATATATTGTTATTAATATTTATTTATTTCAATTGTCAATATTTATTTACCCATCTTCAATTTACTTTCTAGGTCTTTATTAATTGATAATTTTAAAATAGTGTAGGTCCACATCAGGACTTAGCGTCTAGCCAATTCTTCAACCTGCTTTATTAAATAAACCATGTATGTATGTACTAGTATGTATGTGAAGCGTTTTCTTTCTGTTTCTTTTTTTCTTGAAGAATGTGAATAATTTATGCTATTCTCTACCGTCCCCTCCCCCCCGCCACTGAATTTGAAGAGGGGTCCTGAGCGCTCTGCACCTGTGATTGCAGTGATTACTCGTTCTTCGACCTCGCTCACTACACGTGTTGAAACAGGCTGTGTGGTCAATTCAGTGGCTAGTAAGTCTTTATTTAGTGCTTTTATCAACGAACGCAATCTCCTGGATATGGCGAAGTTTGCTCTGACCGTTTCTGTAGCTATACTCCTTCAAGTCATTTCAGTTCTCGGCGCAGTTTATACAGAAGACAAATGCATCAAGGGAACATGGCACAAAGCGTCACCATCGCCCGAAACAGATGCGTTCAAAACGTGCCATGCCTTCAAAGACAGCAGTTGCTGTACGGCCGAGTTTACAGTGGAATTGATGGCTAATGAAACCCGCAATTTGTACAACCATTCTTGGCATCGTTGCGGGCAATTGTCGGAGAAATGCCAACAGTTTTGGGTCACACAGGTACAGTTGTAGCTTTAATTTTTAGGTGATTTACACTCGCCCAGACTGCAAAACTGATTTGCCCAGTCAGGCGCGAACGAATACTCCGTTCGCCCGCACAAATACTCCGTTCATCCACACAAAAGCAATTGATACAGTGTGTTGCTCAGGCCCAGTTCAGACGTCGTGCTTCTGTCGTGCCGAACGAAATTGCAATTAGGTTTGACTGTAGCACGGCAGGAAAACAACTCTGATTCATACGTCGTGCCCGAGTCGAACCAAATTCAGGATATACCGTGATGCCTCGTAACAATTCTCCTCCTAGCTCCCCGTGGGAACGCAACCTCGCCAAAATACATTAATATAATTTATGAATTTTGTTTGGCGCGGCAGAAGCACGACGTTTGAATCACTGCCGTGCCAGAGTTGTGTAGCACGGCAGAGCTTGTCGAAATTAATTGCTTGCCGAACTTAATTCAAAAGTTTGATTCAGACGCTGTGCTTCTGCCCTGCTTTTGTCGAACTTAATTCCTGAATTTAGTTTGGCACGGCAAAAGCATGAGGTCTGAACTGAGCCTCAGTTAGTTCAAAATTGCACTTGTGGGAAGGTTTGCCTATACGCATTTACCATACCCTAATCCACGATATTGGCCGCTTTTATGCTAGGGACGTTAATGTTGTCATGGACGTTAAAGCTGTCTCGAGACAACTTTAATGTCTAGTATGTATGAAAACAGAAAATGAGTAAGACGCTTTTAAAGTCTGTCTACTTTAACGTCTTCTCTTAAGAGCGTCTGAACGACGCTCTTCTCAGTCGCCTTTAACGTTTGAGATGTTAAACCTGTCTAGTATAAAATCGTGACACCCTTAGCTGCCTGCCATGTTATCAGCTAGTAGATTTGTTGGTATACTGGTACACTAAAAGTTGCTTGTTTCCAGTGTCCTCTGAGTGTAGAACCCAGTCTTCTTTTATATAAAATATATATATATTTTTTGTCAGGCTGTGTATTTAAATGCATCTCGTTTTTATACAAGACACTTTAACATCTCAGACATTAACAGTGTCTAGACAGCTTAAATGTCTCTAGCATAAAAACAGCCATTGTAGCCATATATGGTCAATGACCTAATATCACAGGATATCAAGACTTCTGATTGGTTTATTGCAAATTTGGGTATGGTAAAGGGAGTAATCAGGCAAGTGATTTTAAAGCCAGAGGATGAGAATGCAGTGAGGCTGATTTGAAGTGGGCCTTTTATCACGCTTTTTAATGCCATCTTGATGGGTTAGCAAAGTAGTAAACAACTACAGTGTTTGTGTGGTAATCGGATGGCAAATAACTTTTTTAAATATTGATTTTGCACAACTTATGAATTACAAATTTACCATACTAGGTAGCAGATTAATTTCCCATGTTTGTCCATAATTTTTTTCCCACGAAATGCGTCTGCCCAGCCAAATTTACAGGCAAATGTATGGAAAATTAGAAAAATTAACTGAACATCTTCTAGCCAAGCTTCATCCTTTAATCTTGGTGAATACAATCTTCTACCCAGTATTTTAATGTTGTAAGTCACAAATTGTGTAAAATTCAATTTTGGAAAAAGTTGTTTGCCATCAGATTCCCATACAAACACTCTAATTTCTGACTGCTTTGCCTACCTGTCAAGATGGCATTGAAAACCATGATAAGGCACATTAGAAGCCCCATTACTCCCTGAATTGTTCAACACAAGGTCCAATTACTAAAATTTTAAAACTTATCAGTAACAAATTTCAAGGTTAAGAGTAAACAGTTGTTTACACGTGGGTCAAGAGAAGCACTGTTGGGAGTTAGGTGTCTTGCCCAAGAACACAACACTGGGCTCTAATCCAGTACTTCTGGAGTCCAGTGCACAGACCACTAAAAAGAATTTTGAGCAAGTGTGACTCAGTATAAGTTACACTGATTTCATTAACTGCATAACAGCTGACTTGAGAACCACTATTTTTTTGTTCTTGTTTAATTTTTTTTCTTTTTAACTTTACAGGAATGTTTTTACCAATGTTCTCCAAAAGTTTATCAGTGGGCACATCCATCTGTTGATGGTGCACTTCTAGGTAAGCAGTTAATCATTTTATATATTGTTGACTATATTGTGTCTGTTTTGTGAACAAATAATGGCTTGTCAGGGATGATTGCTTAACAGCTTGTGATATACTTGTAACTGCCTTAAAAAGATTCTCTGGCTACAAGTGGACCAAGATGAAACACCTGGCCAGAGACAGATGGGACTGGAAGTGATTCATCAGTCGCCTATGCTCCAAAATGGATTGAATAGGCTTCAAATCAGATCAGATTCTCTGCCAGGCCTTTACTAGCCTACTGTATATATGTTGCCTGACAGAAGAGACTAACAAGAATAAAATCTGGCTGGTTAATTGAGAGTGTGTTTTTTCTTCCTGTCGTCTTTCAGGTGTGCCAGTTTGTTCTGACATCTGTGATCAGTGGTTTAATGCCTGCAAGAATGATCAGATTTGTGTGGAAAATGTTCTTGTAGACTATAACTTCACTGTTCATGGTGAAAACTTCTGCCCTGCGAACAAGAGCTGCATAACATACCAAGCAATGTACGGAAATGGCAAAAACCTCTGTGAGAAAATGTGGGCAGGATCCTATAATTACACAATGCCGAATGCTGATTACTCCAACTGCCTCATGATGAACGGCTCAGTCAAACCAGTCAAACCAGTCAAACCAACTGTAGAGAGTGAAGGTGTTATCAACACTGCCTACATTGCCTTATTGCAGCTACTCCTGTTTGTTGTGGCTGTTATGCTATAAATAATTTATTGTAAGCATTTAAATTTCTTTGTTATTTAAACAGTTCTGCAGTTGTGGAAAAGACAGTCTTAAACTAGCGTGAAGTAGTAAGCTTATTGCAATAAGATATGTTCTTTGAATTCCCCTTGTAAATTATAGAAAATTTAAAAAGTGGACTGCTTTTTCAGATTTCACAATCGGATCTATTGTTCTGGTTTTTATTAGCTATCAGCTTCAGTAGGTTTCTTTCACTGAAATGTTCAGTGCTTTTTTATGCTCTAAGCTTTAGTTTATATCTGGTGTTTTGTAGTTCTATATTTAGTTTTTTGAAAGCCTGTTGCCTTTCTTAAAGTGGTGTCTGGCCATGGGCATGTGCTTCTCCTCAAGTTATTTACAAAAAACAATTTTGCTCATGTTTTCCTCAATTCTGAGTAGCAGTTATTACCCCAGGGGGAGGGGGAGGGTACATCCATACAAGAAGGATGACCCCAAGCGAAGTCACCTCGCCACCAAGCGAAGTTTCCTCGCCAAGGCAGTGGATAAAAGAACGAGGAATAATCTCTATATGCGACTCGATCTGGTTGGGGGCAAACTCGATCAAGTACAGTTGAGTCGATGTGGGGGCGAACTCGGTGGGGGCGAACTCGCCATGGGGCGAAACCAGCAGCGACCATTGAGATTGTAGATTGCTTTTTACTTACTATGGCAAGCTCTTTGCCTGCTGCCTTTCTGAAGGCTTTGGTCCACTTGATTTTACGTGGATTTCGTTTCNAAAAGAGGTGTGGTCTTTTTTTAAGCCAATCATGTACCACAGTAATGCAAAACCCATTCCTTCTCAATACTCATGTGAAAATGGCTCTTAATTTATTGTTAGCACACTTGATAGTATGTGGTAGAAAGAAAGCATTGCTTGAAGGTTTATTTATTGAAAATCAATCAACTTCATTGCTCGCCTCTTACTGTCCTTACACAACTCTGCCATTGTCTTCCGACTAAAATGGGTTTAACATAGGAGTGTAGAGAGCTTTACTCTCACTCTGGCACTGCCTGCTGCACAGGCTTTTTATTTCTTAGTGCAAATAGCGATTGGGAGACTAAAAGTGAGCAAAAAAAGCATGAGCGGAAGCTGGTGGTGAGTGAGGAGCGCAGGCAACTGGGGACGAGGCATGCTCTAGCAAGTCTTACTTCCAACATGAGGTCGCAACCACATGATTATATTTTTTAATAATTAATTATGTTATAATTATATTATTTATTAATTAATATTATTTCATATTATTTAATATTCTATTGCCAGAGATTATTTTTCTGTTGTGTTTGTAGTCAGAGAAAACATTTAGGTCTCCTTAATGATTTTCATAAAAATGGTCTATGAAAGAACTACATCTGCATACAGTAGAATGGAACTGCTTGCACTTCATGACTGTGTTATTAATGTGTTGAAATTAAATCTTTCCCAGCCAAGATTCAGTCTGTCACCAGAAATCTACAGCAAGTTGCCAGCAACACCAGTGGTCAGCGCTCAATATATGCACCCCAACAAACACGATCAGTCCACGGTCATCACTTTTTTGCAGTTCCCCTTGTAAATCGACTACCAACTTTGAGGATGCAGTCAACAATCATGTTTGCCATTTTGAGAAACCAGCTCTGGCCAAACTTGGAGATGCAGTCTTCCTCAGGCAAAAACAGCACAAGATGTCTTGCCACCGTAAACCAATACAGATGGAAAAAAGTTAGAACCAAGGCAGATATGCCAAAGAAAATTATTCCTAAATCAAGGCAGGTGCTTCGTGGCCCTCAGAGAAAAGGAGTTTGTATCAAGGTTTTTACCCGAAAACCAAAGAAACCCAATTCTGGGAACCGGAAGTGTGCGCTGCTGAAACTTAGCAGTGGGAAAGTTATCACTGCGTATATTCCTGGCGAGAAAGCAGTGTTGCAGGAGCATGGTGTGGTGTTGTTTGAAGGTGGTAGAGTGCAGGACTGCCCTGGAGTCAAATATAAGATAATTAGAAAGAAGTATGACATGAACTAACGAACCAAAGTTGAGAGAATAAAGCGTTACTCCTTTTATTGGTGTAAATCAGTTTCCAGTCAAGGTACGCATCACATGTGTCGCTATTCTTATCAATTTTGTGCAAAGCCCACAAACACTTGAATGCCCTTACATTCCGCTTATAGTTTCCTTCACTCTAACTCCTCCTGCATTAGAAATTGTCATTGCTTATTGTGTTCGTGAGCGGTAAACGGAAACGGTACTCGACCAAAACACTTCAAAATCGGTAAAACGGTGAACTCTAAACGGCACAAAACTCTCTAAATGGCACAACAACTGCTCAGTGGAAACTGTCTAAAACTCTGCCGATAAACGTTCACGCAACTTAAATTCGTAAGCGCAACTAACGTACGCGTAACTTAAATTCAAAATGTTTCCATGCGCGCGCGCGGTATTCGCGCGTCACGCCACTTCGGAACTGTCTTCTCAACATATTGTGTGTTTAGTATAGCAAACTCTAGCCTGCGAGCAGGCTCACGTTGGAGCACAAGCGTTGGAACAAAAGCACGCGCGGCGTAGCCACGAGCGCGAAATCGGCGCCTCTTCACCAGACTCCTTCACACCGGCTCGCTTTGCTTTTCGCCTCTCGCGCGCGTGACTCAAAGGTGAGCGTGCTCGCAGGCTAAATAAACTGTCTTTGATATATATTCTGTCTTCATACTTCTGAACTGGGCATTCACGATGGTAGCTGCCGGTTTCGCCCCATGGCGAGTTCGCCCCCAACCAGATCGAGTCGCATATAGAGATTATTCCTCGTTCTTTTATCCACTGCCTTATTAGATTACTGGTGGCGAGGAAACTTCACTTGGTGGCGAGGTGACTTCGCTTGGTGGCGAGACTCCCTGGTGGCGAGATGACCGGTAACCGTCCAGCGAACAATCATCATCTAAGCTTATCAAACATACATAGACTGAAATGGTTCTTCGAAAACGTTTAATAGCTCGATAACAACTGCGTAAACATGAACACTAAAAGTTGGGGGCGAACTCGAAATAGAAATTTTATAGTGGGGGCGAACTCGGTGGGCGCGAACTCGCCATAGGGCGAAACCGGTATCATTCGCTACGATACGACTTGGCAGGTTCGTTTGTTAAAGGAATCTTAAAAAAAAAAAAACCGACTTCTGACCGTGTTGAAAATCAGGTCAATATTTGTTTATTGGAAAACCGAACTTACAACAGTACTGGCCAGTACTCGGCTTTATAAATAACAGAGTAAAACAACGTCCGACCATGCTATGCAATCACAGTTAAAGCGCTTCGACTCTTCAACGCTTTTCGCCATCGCCGCTTGATTCAGTTGCGTGTAGCGTGCTGAAAAGCATTTGTCAGGGCACTTCAGTGGCTCTTAAAGATAAGACTCGCTATGTTAGCCGAACAAACTGATCCTGGGCAAATACGTGAG